CCCCGTATGCCACCAGTGTGTTGGAATGCCATCTGCCTGCCTGTCCATCAGCTTCACTCCCTGCCTGCCTTCCCACCTCTCTGTCTGTCTCCCGCATCCCTGTCTGTTTTATCCGGATGCAGGACAGATCTCTCAAAATTTGGCTGCATCAGCCTGTGCCCCCTCTTGGTATTTGTGTCTCCCCAATGCAATCTGTTCGTCTCCTTGGTCCATCTGTCTGTTTCCAAGGTGGTGCATGCAGAAAGACTAACCAGGCTTAGGCCTCATGGGGGTGGGTTCTGCCTTGGTCTGGTGGCCCCCTGGGCCCATCCACTTGTGTCTGTTTCCCTTGGACTGTCCACTGTCTGTCTCACCTGGAGACTTGGGCAATGGCCTGAGTATTTGAATTCCCAGCTATGCCTCCTGGCTCCTGCTCAGGAGGATTGGGGTCTCCCTGCCTGGCCCCCATACTACCCCCCTCCTCCCCCTGGATCCTATAGGCATGATTTTTGAAACTTGGTGGGGTGCGACGGTGTGAGCAGGACAGCCACAATGAGGTTCAGGAAGTCTCCTGTTCTGGGGTGGGGGTGCTGGGCTACAGGGTGTGCAGGCCCTGGGCGGAGACCTTGCCTCAGGGATGAGCCCCCCCTGCCCCCAGGGCCGAAGCCCGAGATGGTCTACGACTTCTGGCGCATGGTGTGGCAGGAGCACTGTTCGAGCATCGTGATGATCACCAAGCTGGTGGAGGTGGGCAGGGTAAGCGAGGCCGTGGGCTGCAGTGTGGGGCAGGGTGGGCCCAGGGCAATGGTGAAGAGCCACTCAGTACTCAGACCTGCCTGCTGGGGGCTTCAGGTGAAATGCTCACGTTACTGGCCTGAAGACTCGGATATGTATGGGGACATCAAGATCACACTGGTGAAGACAGAAACTCTAGCTGAATATGTTGTGCGCACCTTTGCTCTGGAGCGGGTGAGTCACCCCGTCACCTGCATCTGAGGCAGAGACCCTCTGCTCTCCACCTCTCCTGGCCCAGGTTTGAGAAGGGAGCAGGAGGGTGAGAGGCAGCTTGTTGTCCTTCCTGGAATGACAGGAAGTGGTGCCTGCCTGTGTGGTTATCTGCATGGTTCCGTGACATCCAAGAGGAAGTAGAGATGATGAAGATGATGATGATAGCTGCCAGGTGGATTGGCCCTGTGCTGAGCCCAGTACACACATTCTCTTTCAGGCCTGGAAAGCTCTGCAGGGTTGGGTGCTTGTCATTAGCCCCATTTTATAGATAAGGAAAGTGAGGCTCAGAGTGGTTGCATCCTAAAAGACTGCATGTGATTGGACAATGAGCCCTTCCTGCCCATGATCTCATTTGATCCACTCTGTAAAATCCTCAGAGGAAGACCAGTCTCTGCCCTTTAAAAGGAGATCCACTCAGGGTCACACAACAACCTGGTAGCAGAGGCGGGTGTTTAATTTGCCAGGCGTAGGTATCAGGCAGACCTGGGTCCCAGTTCTGGATGATACCTGCCTAATCTCAGGCAGGTGGTTTCTCTCTGTGAGCCTTACTTTCCTCACGTGCACAGTGGACGAGTTGTAGCCTGTCCTGAGTGTATTATTGGAATCATTGAGACGTGCACACAGTCAGTGTCTAATAGATGCGGGCAGGGACTCTGTTGCTATGGTTTTCTCCCCCAGAGAGGATACTCTGCCCGGCACGAGGTCCGTCAGTTCCACTTCACAGCGTGGCCAGAGCACGGTGTTCCCTACCACGCTACGGGGCTGCTGGCCTTCATCCGGCGTGTGAAGGTCTCCACCCCACCTGATGCTGGGCCCATTGTCATCCACTGCAGGTAGGGGCTCTGGGAATCCCAAGGAGAAGAGGGCAAATTGGTTTGGGAGTGGGGACTAGTCCTAGGTACATCCTGCTCGGAGACAGAGAACAGGAGTGAATGTCCTCCAAAAGGCCCTTTGGTTTTTGCATTTTGGTTCTGAGGTTGTCACCTTCATGTCGCCCCAACACTTGTCTGAAGCCCATTGTCCCCGATGCCAAGGAGCCATGGAGGGGGATTAGGGGTTGGCAAGACACCTTGCGGGATCAATTCCAGTTTGCTTTCACTCAGCAAGTATTCATTGCATTCCTGCTGCCTCCTGGGTGTGGGTCAGACACGGGAAGGTCGGCATCTTCTCCTCAAACCCAGTGGGCTTTCCTCAGCCCTTGACCTTGGTACTCTCTGCAACCTCTATCTGACTGTCATTTCTTCTTCCTTTCCCAATTCCTGCATCAGTTGGCTTCTGTGTCCCCAGCTCCCTCCTTCTCTCTGCTCTCCTTCCTCCTTGGCTCACAGCTTCCTCTTGCCGTTTAAATGGGGACTCAGCCTTACCCCTTCTCTCTCCCTGGAGAGCTTAACCTCTAACCCTGTGGCTTCAGTGAGTTTCCTGGGCCCACAAGTCCTTCACCTCCATATTTTGTCCGGGTCCCTCTATTGTTGTTAAGTGCCATTGAGTTGGTTCTGACTCATAGCCCCCTTTTATAGGGTTTCCCAGGAGTGGCTAGGAGCTTTGCATTGCCAGCCTTGCAGTTAGCAATCCAGTGCTTATCCTACAGCACCACATCAGGACTCCCTGGTACTTCTGTTGAATTCTTATCAGCTCTCTGAATGCCAAATGCCAGACTCATTCTCTCTGCCCTGCCACCTCCAAACCATGTCTCTTTGATTTCTTTAAGCCTCTTTAAGATACTATCTCTTTAAAATCAAACTTGATTGATGCACATATAACCAAGTACGCAAATCATGAGTGTATATATATATATATAACATATATCTTCATGAGGTTTCACAGACTGAGCACACCTGTGAAATAACCAGCACTCAGAACAAAACCCAGAGCAACCACCGCACCCAGAAGTCCCCTTGAGCCCCTATTAGTCTCTACTGCCCACCGCAGAACAATTACTATCCTACTTCTAAATCAGAGCTAGTTCTGCCTGCTTTTGAACTTTGCATAAATGGATTCATTCATGCAGTATGTGTCCTTGGCTCTGCCTTCTTTCCCTTAATGGTGTGTTTGTCAGATCCATCCATGTTGCATGGCATTGCACTGGGTGAGTAAACCACGGTGTGTTTATCCAGTCTGTTCCCAATAGGCATCTAGGCTGTTTCCAGTTTGTATCTATTATGGGTGGTCCTGCTAAGAGCATTCTATTGTATGCCTTTCGGCCAACACATGGGCTCAGTTCTGTTGGGTTTGTATGTAGGAGGAGTGGAGTAGGTGTGTATGTGAATGTTGAACATCAGTACATACTGCACTAAACCCTAGCTTCCCTAAGTGGTTGTACTAATTTAAACCTCCACTAGTGGTGTATGGGGTGCTCCAGTTGCTCTGTGACTTTACCAACATTTGAAATCTTGGTGTCATCATGGTCTGCTCCCTACTTCCCTCCAAAGCTGCTCAGTCCAGTGCTGAGTGTGAGGATCACAGAGACACATCAGCCCCAGCCCAGCTCTCAGTGAGTTCCCAGTTGGGTTAGAGAGCCAGACACATAAGCAAAGATCATGGAGAAGGGGGAGTGTTTTAATAAAAGTCTGTCCAGGCAGCTCTGGGGACTCTGAGAGAATGTTCAGAAGGTTTTGGGAGGCCACACTGAGGCGATGGCATCCTGTGTAGGACTTGAAAGTGTGTACAACAGATTTGGGGGTTATCCAGGAAGAAAGAATATTGTGTAAAACTTTTTTTTTCATACTATGGTAAGTATATATGTACTACCAACATTTGCCATTTTAACATTCTTTACATGCATATACACTTTAGCAGTGTTCATCAATTATACAACCATCACCATGATCTCTTTCCAAATTTTCTACCATCCATAACAAGCTCAGTATCTCCTAAACAAAGAATCCCCTTGCCCTCCCTCCTGCTCACCTCTGATAACCAGCAGCCTTACTGGGAGGTTTCAGGGGTGTGGACACTGTTGGGGTGAAACGGAAATGACCCCAGGGTCTGTGTTGTGGTGGTGGCTTTGGTGGGCAGATTGGGGGAAGGGGCTACCAAGGCAGTGGGGTTGCTGTTAACCTGTCACCCAGAAGAGCTTGCCACCACATCATACAACCCCCCCTTCTATCACCTTCAAACCAGGGTATGGGTGGGTAGACCATGAGCCTGTTGTTGCAGGTGGGGAGGGTCTCCACCAATTGGAGAAGGGAGGAGCTGTGGGGGCCCTATGTGTGTGAGTAGAGTATCCATTGGGAAGGGGCAGGGTGGCACCATGAATTTCATACTGGGTGACACCAGTCCTAGTAACACCAGGGCTTGTTGTTAAGTACTGTCCAGTTGGTTCTGACTCATAGTAACCCTTTGTATGGTTTCCAAGGAGCAGCTGGTGGGTTAGAACTGCTGACCTTGTGGTTCACAGTCCAGTGCTGATCCTACAGTGCCACACCAGGGCTGGTAATCACTAGTAAACTTATGTCTTTATATACTTACCTCATCTAGATAGTTCTTGGAAGTGGAATCATACAATATTTGCTCTATGTATGACTTACTTCACTCAGCATGATGTTTTCATGGTTCATCCATGTTGTTGTGTGTATCACGACTTCATTTCTCTTTCTGGCCAAGTAGCTTTCCATTGTATGTATGTACCATGCTCTGTGTATTATTGATCTGTTGATGGACATTTATGCAGTTTTCATTGGAAACAACCTTTTTGGCTTGTGGGCATCATTTTTGCTTCCCTCTCTCTCCCACTGATCTAACTTTCTATGTTGGACTGATTTCACCTCTGCATTCTTCCTGCTCAGTCCTTTCCTCCCCTCTGCCAAGGCGTGTCCCTAGCTCTGCCCTCTATTTTGAAAGAACTCTTCCTTCAGCCTTCTTTCTGGCTCCTTCTTGCCAGTGGTAAGTCTCTCTGTGCCCCCTGCCTCTCATATGGTGTAGATATGGCCAGGTGTCTGGTCCTGCCTCCCTCTCCTTTTTCTTGTCCCAGATTCCTCCTTTACAGCTCTGACCTGGCCCGGGGCCACTCTTTTTCCAGTGCTGGAACAGGTCGCACAGGTTGCTACATTGTCCTGGATGTGATGCTGGACATGGCGGAGTGTGAGGGCGTCGTGGACATTTACAACTGTGTGAAGACTCTCTGCTCCCGGCGTGTCAACATGATCCAGACTGAGGTGTGGAGACCCAGTCCCGTTCCCACTTCCCCTCAAGGACTTGGTTCCTCCAGGGGAAGCTCAAAGTTAGTGGAGTATATCAGAAGAGTGCTCCTCCCTACCCAGGTTTCTCTGTTCTTCTCCCTCCCAGAACCTGGACTGCCAACCTCTTAGAGCCTTCCCAAACTCAGGCCCACTGTGTCCTATCAGGTGAAGCCAGCTAGCAGTGAACCGAGTTCCTGGGCTCTGTAGTTGTGACATACCCAGGCCTGCATCCCCATTACATGTGAGACCCTGACACCTTTTAGAGCTCCTCGCAGGGTTGTTACAGGGATGATTGTGAGCTCCAGACATGGAAAGCCTGCGGCACAGTGTCCAGCGCATAGTTGATAAATGATAGCTATTATCATTGGGACAGTTCATGCTTGGCTACTGATTGAAAGGTTGGTGGTTTAAGTCCACCCAGAGCACCTCGGAAGAAAGGCCTCCTACTTCTGTTGGTGGTCTATTTCTGTCAGATTACAGCCACCGAAGACCCTAGGGAGTGAAACTACTTAGACACACATGGGGTTGGCGCATGTTGGATTCGACTACACAGCAACATGTTTTATTGCTATTTCCATCATTCCCCCAATGCCTGGCCAAATAGATCCATGTGAGCTTGTTTTAAGTAGGATTGACCCAACCTCTAGTGACATGGTTGGGCCCCATCTCAAAGCACCCCTTCCTCCACCTTAACTTGCTCTACTCTCCCATTGCACCCTAAAATCTTCAGCTTTTGGCCCCTCTTGATTCCTCATATTCTTGCCTTCAACTGTAGGAGCAGTACATCTTTATCCATGACGCAATCCTGGAAGCCTGTCTGTGTGGAGAGACCACCATTCCTGTCAGTGAGTTCAGGGCCACCTACAAGGAGATGATCCGCATTGATCCTCAGAGTAATTCCTCTCAGCTCCGGGAAGAGTTCCAGGTATGGTGTGTGTGTGTGTGTGTTTAATGTGTGTGCATGCATATGAGTGTGTTGGGAGACCCTTTGTGCTGTAGAAGACATTGAGGGCCTTAAGCAGGAGAGACCAGGTTGAGACCACAGTTAACAGACTGAATTGGGCTACTAGCTTTGAACAAATTACTTTACCTATCCTAACCTCAGTTGTTTTACCGATAAAAAACAAGCATAGTTAATACCTGCCTTGTAAGGTTTGTATTCATCAAGATTCTTTTGGCTGCAAATGACAAAAATTCAGCTTAGTGGGCTCATTAACTAAAAAGTCTAAGGGTGGTGCAGCTTCAGTTCTGGCTGGAGCCAGTATTCCTGGTAATTCCTGTACCTAGTCTCTGTCCACCTTGGTTCTGTTCTCCTTCGTGTTTGGCTTCATTCTTAGGCCTGTACTCTGCCTCCCAGCAATGCCAGGCTCAGTCATGTCTACTGCTAGGACACTCAGGGAAAAGTGCACTTTCAGCTTCCAACAGTCCTAACAAAGTCCTGGACCAGACTCTTTTTTTAAAAAAAAGTTTTATTGTGAATTATGTGATAGTTTACATGGGAGAACATTAGCTTTACATTCATCCTATCGTATATCGTTTCATTGCCATGGTTACCTGGACCAGACTCTTATGGTCTCATCCCTGAACCAGTCACGGGGGCCAGAAAGCCAGAGCACATTGATTGACCCAGTCTTCAGATACATGCCCAAGACTTGGTTCTAGAGGTGGGACCAGCCTCACCCAAATGACTTGGACTGAGATGGAGGAAGTTGGTCTTCCAGAGACAAGTCTGATAACTATCACTGGGTGGATAAAGACCCCAGATGTCCTTTCTATCCCACGGTCTCTGTGAGGGTTCCACTTTGTAGGAGACATGAGGTTTCAGGGCTTGTTGGAATGAAAGGGCCTAGTGGTCACTAATGTTTCTGGTTTTTGAGCCCCCCTGTGTGCTGTGCTCAGTGATTGATGCAGGGTATCACTTCACTCTATCCTCACAGTCATCCCATGTCCTACGCCTATTATTCCCCCACTTTATAGTCAGGAAAACAGAGGCAGAAAGATACAATAACTTACCTGGGCTGTCCAGCTGAGTCTGGAGGTTGACTCTAATCTTGGAGCTCCATCTAGCCCCATGTGCCCTTGTACCAGAGAAGGTGATGAGGGGCTCTGCTCCACTGCAAAAGGGGCATCAGATTGAGTGAGCTCTTTGGGGAAAAACAGGCCCAGGAGACAGGGAACCTGGGTCCCTGCCTGCTCTCTGGACCTCAGTTTCTTCATCTGCAAAATAGGGTCATTAACCTAGCCTAGTCTCTTTCAGGGGGCTTTGAAGAGATGCTGCAAATTCTGGATGTGACCTTCCCATCCCCTACTCCTCTCGTAGACCCTGAACTCGGTGACGCCACCGCTGGATGTGGAAGAGTGCAGCATTGCCCTTCTGCCCAGGAACCGTGACAAGAACCGCAGCATGGACGTCCTGCCGCCGGATCGCTGCCTACCTTTTCTCATCTCCACTGACGGGGACCCCAACAACTACATCAATGCAGCCCTGACTGATGTGAGAGCTTAGGAATGGGACTTCCCTATCCAGCAGGATCTGAACTGAGAGCTCTAATGTGGAAGGGCCCTTCTACCTTTTTGGGGACCAAGTCCAGGGGTGTCCCCTATCAGCAGTGATCTTCCATTCAGGACATTCAGCCCAGTGCTTTCCCTGAGGTATTACTCTCAGACTGTGTGGAGGTCTGGTCTTGGAGTTAAGGCATAGCTCTGCCCAGGACTAGGCCCAGCAGAGCCTGGGGTAGGACAAGAGATTTAGAGACTATCTGCAATGGTAACTTCTTCCCTGGCCCGATTCTGTCCATGTTCTGAGGGCTCAGGAACCATTTAGAAGCCCTCCTTCCTGCCCCAGCTTGGAAGGGAGATTCCTTTATTTCTTTACTGAATTTGAGAGACTGGACTGGCATCTCTGACCCTTCAGCCGTGGAATTGGAAGGACCATGAGAGATGATGAGAGATTCATTTATTTAAAAATATGTATCAAACCTCTGTCATGTGCTGGGCATAGGTGCTATCTAGGAATCTCTGTTCTTTGCTAGGGGACCGGTGGGACAGTCAAATAAATAGATGATGGAATATCAAGTACTGATAGTTTCTACAGAACGTCAGCCAGGCCGAAGAAGTGTGAATTTAGATGGCTGTATATGTGATTATTTTCTTTGAAGTGGCAAAGGAGGGCCTCGTTGAAGAGGTAACAGTTAAGCAAAGACCAGACAGAAGTGAAAGAGGAATTGCAAACATTTGGGGAAGACCTTCCAGGTGGAACAATAGATACAGAAGCTCTGAGGCAGGGACCAGGCTTAGCCAACCTTTGCCCATCATGCCCGAGCTTTGGCTGCCGCATATTTGAGAACCTTTAACTGCTAGTTCTCCTGGGACTCTGGGTCTGTGCACTAGAGGCCTGGAGCCGCCCTCTGAAATGGGCTGCTGTGGGGGCGGAGCTGCCCCTGGAGGGAGGGCCGGCCAAGGAGGACAGCCTGGGGCAGAGGCTCGGTGGGCGGAGCTAACTCCTGCTTTCCCTGCAGAGCTACACGCGGAGCGCCGCCTTCATTGTGACCCTGCACCCGCTGCAGAGCACCACACCTGATTTCTGGCGGCTGGTTTACGACTACGGGTGCACATCCATCGTCATGCTCAACCAGCTGAACCAGTCCAACTCCGCCTGGGTGAGGCGCCCAGCTGGCCTGGCAGGCTGCTGCTACCCTAGGGCACCAGTTTGTTCAAGGGCGTGACCCCAAAAGTAAATCTAGCTCTGCCACGGTCACACCCTCTCTCCCAGAACCTTTGTTTCCGAGAAACAAAGATCCCAGATTGGAGAAACATGCTGGCTTTCAACTCTTAGTGGCCCATGTGACTGAGTAGAGTATTTTCTTGGCTGTCATCTTCATGGAAGTCGATTGCCAGATCTTTCTCCCACAGAGCAGCTGTGTGGATTTGAACTGCCAGCATTTTGGTTAGCAGCCACCAGGTTACTGAGCATTTGCTTTATGCCAGGGACTTGTGTTTACACACAGAGTTGTGTACCTTACAACAGCCAGGGGATGAAGGCTTCAGGGGAGAAAGTGAAGACCCAGAACGGGAAAGCAACTTCTCTAGAAATCTGGGAAGTGGCAGACCTGAGTGCCCCCTCACTGCGGGCTGCCTCATTCCCGAGCCTCTGACTTTCAGTTATTTGACTAAACTGCCCATGTTGGAACCCTCAGTTTCCTTCTCTGTAAAATGGGCCGATCATAGGACTTGTCCACAGGGATTCATCAGGAGGATCATATGAGATGTGTGAGATGCTTAGAAGATGTGTAGCATGCAGTGTAGGTACTTAGAACATGGCACGGAAGAAGATGACGAGGGTGAAAATGACTCCAAGATATTCCTCTCTGACCACATCAGGGGCGGTTCTTCTGACTTCCCCAATTTCATTTTGGGGGCTCCCAAGGCTGGATGCTCAGCCTTCTGAAAGCCCTTGTGAGACCAGAGTCCCTTAGCTCTCTGCACCAGGTGCCCAGGAGAATTGGCTGTAAAATAAGCATGGCCGACTCCAGAAGATCTCTGTCCTGGGCCCTTCATGAGTAGAATGACCCTGGCCTATAGGGGAATGGGCTTCTGGTCCTAGAGAGGGAGCTGGAGGGAATCCCAGCTGTGACAAGGAGAGGGCACCCTTTCTGGAGTGGAGGGGAGGGGCTCCGAGGGACACTCATCTGGACATCAGTCACCGGACACTGATTTGCTCATTCATTCAGCCAACTTTTCCTGCAGATGGCTCTGTGCCAGGCCCTGCAGTGGGCAGAGGGGAGACAGAGAGGTAGAAGACAGCCCCTCCTAGAGTCTCATGGTCCAGGAGGAAGCAAGTGTCAAAACAGATGGTGACAACACACAGGGAAAGAACTGTCGTGGAGCCTGGGGAATCATGTATCAGGGAAGCCTTCCTGGAGGAGGTGGTGTCAGGGCTGGGCTGATGTATAGGAAGAGGAGGAGAGTTCACTAGATGAAGAGGTAGGGGAAGAATGATTTATGCAGAGGAAACGAACTCCAGGTGTTAGGGATTGTCAGGACTCTAGGCAGCCAGAGGACGATAGTGTCCTGATGGGATTGTGGCCCAAGTCTGGGGACATCCTTACAGCTGGTTAATTGGGTGCAGAGAAAGGAAGAGACTTGCCCAGGCTCCAGGCAAAGCTGAAATAGAAGGTGGGGCTTCAATTGACGATTGGGAAGACCCACAGTTTTATGTGTAGGGGCCATGCTTCCTGTCCCTCCGGTGTCTTCGGTCTATGACCTGGGAGAGAAGTGCCTTTAGGACTTTGACTCATGGCGAGGTCCTGGGTCTGGTGTGGGGCTGCTAAGCTGTGTCACAGCATCTGGACATCCCACCTCTGTGATCTGGTGCTGAAAGGGAGAGGCAGTGAAAGAGGTATGGGGCGGGGGTCATTTGAGTCCTATCCCTGGAAGGAGGCGTGTGTTAAGGTGTGGATTTGCAGCCACATGGTGGTGCATATGAAGGGCTGGTCTTGGCTGATCCGAGTGTGTCAGTAAAGGCGTGCTCTGTGGTCTGATGGGTGAGTGGGGGCTCTGAAGGCAAGTCTAGAGTGAATGGATGGGCATGGCTGTCCCCGCCAGCTCTGCTCAGCTCTCCTCTCTCTGTGCCTGTCACCCAGCCCTGTCTGCAGTACTGGCCAGAGCCAGGCCGACAGCAATATGGCCTCATGGAGGTGGAGTTTGTGTCGGGCACCGCAGACGACAACTTGGTTGCCCGTGTCTTCCGGGTACAAAACATTTCTCGGGTGAGTGATTGGATAGCCCAGGGTGAGAATGGGTGTGGTGGGTGGGATAGCTTTAAATGACCTTCTCTTGAGGCCACTGAGGTCTCCCGTGACCTGGGTGCTTAAGTATCCCCATGTGGCTGCTGCACACCCAGATGCAGGAGGGGCACCTGCTCGTGCGCCACTTCCAGTTCCTGCGCTGGTCCGCATACCGGGACACGCCGGACTCCAAGAAGGCCTTCCTGCACCTGCTGGCTGAGGTGGACAAGTGGCAGGCCGAGAGTGGGGATGGGCGCACGGTCGTCCACTGCCTGTGAGTGCTGGGCCTTGAGGGCGGTGGGGGTGCTGGGAGCCAGGGGATGGGCTCCAGAGAACTGTAGCTTGGCCTCTGCTCATCCGGCTGAGGTTGACCCTGTCTTCCTTGAAGAAATCCAGTCAGTTTCCAGGAAGTACTCTCCTGTGACCTTTGATCTTGCCTATTAGGGTCATGTGTCAGAATCTGTCATCCCATGAAGTCACAGCATACGTTCTAAGCCAAAGGAATTCTCGTCTTTGTTCACGTACACAGGCCGCTGTTTTATGAATTCATCCATCCACCCACCCATCCATCCATCTGCCCTCATTCACAAATTCATCGACTCACTCTCCTCTCATGCATCACTCCTTTGCTCCCCACTCTTTGTCAGTATGTCCAGTGTCAGACTGGACATACTGGCTGCTGAGGAGGGGGCTAAGGGCCTGCTCAGTGGCTCCTGCCCCCCAGGAGGCACCCGCACCGTGGAATCACAGGAAACAAGGGAGAGGGGCTGAGGGGAAGGCAGGGTCTGTGTATGCGAGGTTGAGACGTGGTGGGCCTTGCCCATGGGCTGGGGTTGCAGGGTGGCTCCCTTTCCATTTGCTCTTTGGTGCCTGTTTGCCTCCCACTTGTCCTATGTTACCAACTGTGTCTCTCTTGGGGGGTTTCAGAATCTGTTTCTACTTGAGCATCTGTCTTCCTACATGCCTTAAGGATGTCAGCTTTAGCCCCTGAATATTCTGCCCTTCCCCTTCTCCCCTTTGGCTCCCAGCCCTACCCTTCACCTTTGGGTTCCCTGGCCCTGACCCCCAAACCTTTTGTTTGTCTCATTTAGAAATGGGGGCGGCCGCAGCGGCACCTTCTGTGCCTGTGCCACAGTCCTGGAGATGATCCGCTGCCATAACCTGGTGGACGTGTTCTTTGCTGCCAAAATGCTTCGCAACTACAAGCCCAATATGGTGGAGACCCTGGTGAGGGGCCGTTCCCCTGGCCACTTCTAACTTTCCAGCAGCCCCTGCCTGGTCACGACCCTCAGCACCTGGTCCCCACAGTCAAGTCTCCGGTTGGGGTCCTGCAGTGCACTCCCTTTTCCCTCCTCCTTTCCCCTGGCTCCTGACTCGTCTTCTCTCTCTCCCCACCCAGGACCAGTACCACTTTTGCTACGACATGGCCCTGGAGTACCTGGAGGGTCTAGAGTCGAGATAGCGGCCCCTGGCTTGGGGCACCCACTGCGTACTCAGGGCCAGTCCCACCGTCCAGGACTGGCGAGGAGGACCCGTGCCTCCAACTCTGCTGGGTCATTGCCCCATGGTGGAGCGGGGGAAGCACTGAAGGCGGTGCCTTGCTGTCTTGGTACCCCTTCCATAGTCGGCAGGCTGTGGGCCTAGAGGCACTTGAGCAAGGCTGCAGCCCTGCCCCACCTCCACACAGGGTCCTGACACAGTCTGGGGGAGCTGCCTGGGACTCAGAACTGCCACCTCTGGGGGACCCAGGCCCGAACCCCTTGACTCTACCCCATCCCCTGGCAGAGATGGGAGAGCCCTGAAGATGTGCCAGGCCACAGTTTCCACCCCATTTGGCCCTTTGTGGGCATAGATGGAGGATGAATTGGGGCTTGACCTCTGGAATCCTATCTGGCCTAGCTCCTGATGGCCCTGGGGCTACTCATCTGATGGCCCAGTGACTCAAAGCCAGGCTGTTCTCCTCAGGGGGATCTGCAGCTCCGCCTCCACCCCAGCCCTGCAGCCCCGGGGGATATCTGTTCATGATCCCTCCCCACCGCTGCTCCCGTGATGTGTGCTCTGAGCTTCCCTGAACCAGGATCTGGATATCCCTGCCCCCATCCCCGGACCCTGGTTTCCAGCCTGACCCACTCTCTGCAGAATGAATTCACCCCAGCTGTTCCCTACCCATACTTTCAGGCTTCACTGACCTGGCCTGCTCAGTGTGGGCCAGTGACAATCTGCAAGGCTGACCAACAGCTCTTGGAAAGAGTTCGCCCGTGGCTCTCTGGGGAAGAGGCAGTGCCTGAGCAGGGGTGCAAATGAGCCCTAGAGTTTAGAGGCAGAAGGGTTGGGGTGGAGGGCCTATGCGTTTTTGTTTGTTTATTTTGTTGTTTTATGATGGGTGTATGGGAAGCTCTCTTTAAAATGGGGCAGGCCACACCCCCATTCCGTGCCTCAATTTTCCCATCAATAAACTGTAGATATGACTACTGACCTACCTCGCAGGGGGCTGTGGGGAGGCATATGCCGATGTTTGTAAAGCGCTTTGTAAATAAACGTGCTCTCTGAATGCCACGGAGCCCTGTCTGTCTGACCAGCCTGACTGGGGGCCACCTCCCCTTCTCCCAGCTGCCCTGTGCAGTGGAAGGACCCTGCACTGGGAATCAGAGACCTGCATCTGGTCTGACCTCAGCTTGTCATCCATAAAATGAAGCTGTGCACTTCAGCATTGCTCAGGGCCCGCCTGTTTTTCAGAGGCGGCTCCAGGGTGCCTCGCCATTGTTGCTTTCACATAGGTCTTGAAAGTATTTCCTTAGAACAATGGACTTTATTTCGTTTTAAATAATACTTTAATGTGTTTTTGGTAAAAGTTTACACAGCAAATGCTTCCCATTTAAGAATTCATATACGATTTGTTCAGTGACATTGGTTACATTTTACATAGCGTGTCATCTTTTTCATATCTCTTCTGGTTGCTCCATTTCCAATAATCTAGTTTCCCTGCCCCCTTGCTGTCTCATCTTTGGTTTGAAGTAAGTGTTGACGGTTTGGCCTCATAAATGATTTTTTAAAGGAGCACACTACTTGTAGATTATCTATGTAGAGAATCCTGGTGTGGCACTTCGGATAAGCACTGGACCACAAGGGCGGTTTGAACTGCAAGGTTGGTGGTTCAAACCCACCAGTGGCTCCTCAGAAACCATATACAGGGCTGCTATGGGTCAGAAATGACTCGACAGCACTTAACAACAAAAACATGGTTGTTAAGTGCTATCGAGTTTGTTCTGACTTATAACGACCTTTTATAGGTGAAACTTCGCCACCCTGACCTTCTAAGGCTGTAGTTTGTGCAACACAGATTTTTCTGTTCTTCTGGCAATCCATTGTTGTTGTTAGGTGCCGACGCCAATGCACAGAGACCTTATGTACAACACAATGGAGCACTGCCCAGTCCTACACCATCCTCACAATCGTTAAGTTTGAGCCCATTGCTACTGCCACTGTGCCAATCCAGCTGTTTGGGGTGGGGGGGTCTTCTTTTTCGTTGATCCTCCACTTTGCCAAGCATGATATCTTTCTCCAGGAAGTGGTTTCTCCTCATAATATGTCCGAAGTATGGAAGACAAAGTCTTGCCATCTAAGGAGCATTCTGGTTGCACTTCTTCAAGTACGGATTTGTTCGTCTAGCAATTCATGGTACTTTAAATATTCTTCTCCAACACCATAACTCAAAACATATAAATTCTTCTACAGTATTCTTTATTCATTATCCAACTTTACCATGCATATGAGACTATTGAAACTACCATGGTTTGGGTCAGTCACACCTTAGTCCTCAAACTGAGATCTTTGCTCTTGAACACTTTAAAGAGGTCTTGTACGGCAGATTAGTCCAATGCAATATGTCATTTGATTTCTTGACTGCTGTTTTCATGAGTGTTGATAGTGGATTCAAGCAAAATGAAGTCTTTGACCACTTCAATCTTTTCTCCATTTATCATGATATTGTTTATTGGTCCAGTAGTGAGGATTTTTGTTTTCTTTACATTGAGGTGTAACCTATCCTGAAGGCTGTGGTCTTTGATTGCCATCAGCATTTTAAGTCCTCTTCACTTTCAGCAAGCAAGGTTGTATCATCTGCATATTGCAGATTGTTAATGAGTCTTTCTGCAACCCTGATGCCATGTTTCTCTTCATATAATCTCGTCTCTTGGATTATTTGCTCAGCACAAAGATTAAATAAGTATAGTGAAAGGATTCAACCCTGGCACACACCTTTCCTGATTTTAAACCATTCAGTGTTCCCTTGTTCTGTTTGAACAACTGCCTCTTGGTCTGTGTATGGTTCATCATGAGCACAGTTAAGTGTTCAGGAATACTCATTCTTCGCAATGTTGTCCATAGCTTGTCATGATCTCCATGATAAACATCTTTCTGGTATTCTCTGCCTTCAGCTAAGATCCATCTGATGTTAGCAATGATTTCCCTCATTCCACATCTTCATATGAATCGGCTTGGACTTCTGACAGTTCTCTATCAATGTACTATTGCAGCTGTTTTTGAATTCTCTTTAGCAAAATTTCACTTGCTTGTGATATTCATAATATTGTCTAATGATTTCCACGTTCCATATGGGTCTCCTGTCTTTCGAATGTGCACAAACATGGATCTATTCCAATCAATTAGCCAGGTAGCTATCTTCCAAATTTCTTGGCATAGATGAGTGAGCACCTCCAGTGCTGCATTAGTTTGTTGAAAGATTTTGATTTATATTCTATCAATTCCTGGAGCCTTGTTCTTTGCCAATTTCTCCAGTGTACTTTGGACTTCTTCCTTCAGTATCATTGATTCCTGATCATGTGATATCTCTTCAAATGGTTGAACAGAACCATTTCTTTTTGGCATGGTGATTCTTTGTATTCCTTCCATCTGTTGCTGCTTTCTGCACCATTGAATATTTTGTCCCTAGATTCCTTCAATATTGCAACTCAGGGCTTGAATATTTTTGTCAGTTCTTTAAGCTGGAGAAATGATCATTGTGTCCTTCCCTTTTGGTTTTCTAACTCCAGGTGTTTGCACATTTCTTGATAATATTTGGCTTTGTCTTCTTGAGCTGCTCTTTGAAATTTTCTGTTCAGTTCTTTTACTTCCTCATTTCTTCCATGGTACTTTTAATATTCTTACTAAACACCATAGTTTAAAGCATTGATTCTTCTACTGTCTTCCTTATTCATTGTCCAACTTTCACATGCTTATGAGGCACGTGGTTATGAATCTGGCTGCTAATCTCAAGGTCAGCAGTTCGAAACTACCAGCTGTTCTGAGGGAGAAAGATGAGGCTTTCTGCTCCCGTAAAGATTTACAGCCTTGGAAAACCTGTACAGGATCGCTATGAGTCGGAACTGACTCCACGGCACATAACAACAACATGAGGCACTTGAAAATACCTTGGCTTTTGTCAGGTGCACCTTAGTCCTCAAAACAACAGCTTTGCTCTTGAACACTCTAATGAGGTCTTGTGCAGCAGATTTACCTAATGCATATGTTATTTGATTTCTTGATTGATGCTTTTATGAGTGTTGATTGTGGATACAAACAAAATGACATCTTTTACAACTTCAATTTTTTCTCTCCCTTTATTATGATATTCATCCAGTTGTGAGATTTTTTTTTTTTTTTTTACATTGAGGTGCAATAATACTGAAGTCTGTAGTCTTTGATCTTCATTGTTGTTAAGTGCTGTCAAGTTGTTTCCGACTCATAGCAACCCTAGTATTTTAAATCATTTTTTGGATCCAGCAAGTTAGGTTGTATCATCTGCATATTGCAGTTGTTAATAAAGAAATAATGTGACCCAATGGAATGCAAACATCCTTGGACAGTATCATTAATATCACATGCAAGCAGATAAATCTATATATACATACATCTGCATATAGATACATCTATGTAGGTCCACCTACACAAGGAAAACTGTAGAAGAATTGATGCTTTTGAGTTATGGTGTTGGAGGAGAATATTGAAAGTGCCATGGGCTGCCAAAAGAACCAATAGATCCATTTTGGAAGAAGT